TTCTTCTTTCGCAAATGCTGTGCTTAATATCTGAGAAAAAAACATTTATATATATATATATATACACACTTTTTCATTTTATATATTATTAGTTTATATCATCAGTAACGCGAAATACAATTAATCTTCTCTCTGTGTACAAATACTTTAAAAAAAAATTTTATAAACAATTTTAAAAATTTTCTATTCTGCAACTTTTTCTTTATTTATATTTTATTAGCCTGGAATGTGTTTGCGCTTCTGTACACAGAGAAATTATAGATTCAGAAAAATAATAATTTTTTTTCTTTAAAATCCATGTTAATGTGCTCTTTGTTTTCTGTTTCTTGTTTTTTATTTTTTTGTTTTTTTCTCCTTTGCAACCGTTTCATCGAATTTTTCTTGATACATATTTCTTGTTTCTTTCGAAATTCGTTAACTTTTATCTTGAATGATATAAAACAAAAACTCGGATAAAAAGCAAAAAGATAAAAATGTAAAAAATAGCAAAAAGTAAAAAACAGGAAACAAAAAACATATTGTAGGCTTAAAAGTTCGAGAAAATTAATTTTATAGCTCTTGTTAAAGTTCTTACAAAAAAAGATTTAAGTTGTTTTAAGTAATGCCTATATCAATTATTTCATTCGTGTAACAATGCGATTCTCTCGATATAACATATTCAGTAACATTTTATCGAAAACCTATTCGATATAATTTAATTGATAATGCAGGTACGCACGATTTCATGTAATAATACGCGCCGTTACGATCTTACTACATAGTATTCATCTTCATTGAGAATATTGGACGACGTTTCAAAAGCAAAAAATCCAGAAAATAGCCACAGGAACGCGTACGCATACACGCACGTCCTGTCTCCAGTTCTATGTTGTCGCCGGTCAAGATATTAGTAAGTTCCTTCGGCAAACTCGTCCCTCGAGGCAAAGAGGCGTAATGCAGTAACGATATTGATGATATAATATCTGCTGTATACACATCACGTCGTTTTCTCGTATGTACGTATGTACGCACGCACGCACGCACGCAGGATACGCGCGGAGAGACGCGATCATATGCGTGTCGATGTAGCGCGTGCCCGGGCATTCGGATGAGCTACCGGATCAAGCTGCTTATTCCTCTTTCCTCCGAGGGCCTAAGAGAATTCTTTTGCGATATGAGAGAAACCAGCCTTCCATCGAATTTTATGCTCGTAATGATTCTCTTTAATCTCCACAATTCGTGAGACAATGGTGAATTCGAACTGAAGAGAAAGTCAACGATTTGGCTGAGCTGGTTTTATCTTCTTCATATTCACGATCACGTTATATTATGTATAATTTTTTACTTATGTATTTATTACGTAACAAATATATAACACATAAATAAAGCTATATCATTTATGTATTAAGTCTTATTTGTTCTCTATATAATATATAATAGCTAGTAGAGAAATTTATAATGCGAATAAAACTTTTAGCTGAAAACTTGTTCAGTCTGCCTCATGACGTCGATCACTCGCCTATACATCCGCTTCCGTAACACGGAAACCACGATGTCACCTGTTCTGGAAGCGATTCATCGAGGTGTGACGACACCGTGGGGGTATCTACGATAAGAAATGCACGCGCGCTTCGCTCGAGCGTGGTCTTCAAACGCACCCCGGAAAAGGGGGTGCAAGAAAGTAGCCAGAGCGATTCGCAGGTGACGGCCCACCAGGACTTAATCGATGTGGAGACTTGGGGGTCTATCAGAGGAAGGAAGTGAGGTCACCGGACCTTAGCCCACCTTGGTCACGAGTAGCAGCAGGTGTACCGTCACCATACGGCGAAGCCTTCGATGCTACTGATATCCAGACACAGTACTTCGTCGTTCGAAATTATGCTATTTCAATATAAAATACATCACCCAAAATGGAGCGCTATATACAAGCAAACATTTTTACATAAAATGTAACTAAATATTTAAATTTATTAGAAAAAAAAATACATCTAAATTATTTATTAATGTTCGAATACTTATTGACGTTCGAATTTTTTTTATATTTTTTTTTTATATTTTGACATTTCACCATTGATAGTTTTTAAATTTTCATTGTATCCGTTATTCTTTGTTAACTTAAGATTGTATTTCTACGTTGTAGCACTGAGGAAGGCTTTGTAAGCCGAAACGTTTGTTAATTATATTAATTCAAAGTTAATTTAATTATAGCTCGAAATAAACCATTGACATTGTGTTAATTTTTAAGAAAATATACGAGCATTTTTTACTCCATTCTAAATTATTTACCTATATCTGTATTTATTATCGAATTAATTTTATACATTTTCTAATTGAGACTATTGAATACGTATCAATAAAAAGACTTTAAAAAAAAAAAAAAGAAATTTGCATTTAATTATTCAATCAATTCAATAAACTTGTCATATTACAATACTATATTTATATTGAAGTAATTATTTCAAATACACATCTTTCTAAAATAATTACTTAAATAAATTAAAATATTATTATATTCGTGGCCATTAACTGCAGATGTCGAATGTCCTCGGACGATCGCCATAACTCTTTTCTCTTGTCAGGTGTATATCGCGCGGTTATTTTGTCCAAGATGGGCGCCGCAGGGTGGCTTGCGCGGTTGGGTTACCAGTTTTTGTGCCGAATATGTGGGCCATGCACCTGCCACGCGCGCGTATAAATGCACCGCGCGGTCATCACGGAAGCCGTGCTCGAGTTTCATGGTTCTGGTTTTTAGCGGGAACGCGGTCGACTATTCCCCAGGAGGCGTGCGGAGGGGTCGACGATGCAGCTGCAACCTAACCGCGGGAATCTTTATGACGACGCATTTAACCGCTCAATTAAAACAGTTCTCGAACGCGCCGGATGAGACCGAAATGAGAGGATCGTTCGAGCGTATGCGACCGAGAAGTCCGATCGTAACTTACACGATTATTTCCGCAAGTATACATCGTTACACAAAGGCATCACAAAGGTATTGCCTGGACGTTAAGAGTGTGCTTTACGAGTCGACAAAACGAACTCGAATATTAACGACGGATGTATTTTTAAACAAGGCTACACCGATTCAGTAACGATCTTGCAAAATCGAAATTTATTTACGCTTTCAAATACATGCTTCTATATCACTAATGGATAAGTCGATTTTATTCATGTTCCTCTGGAATGCAAGATCATTTCTCGCGAGAAGAAATCCGTTCGCATGCGATCTGCCAAGGACACGCGCTGCCAGATTGTAACCCGTTTGTTCGACACTAAGAAAGGTGATTGGGCGATACTCGTGAACGAAAATACATCTCATTACGATACCTCCTTTTTCGAGGACATCAACAACGATGCGTCCCGCGATCGTTCCGCGCAGTGAAGTATGCGAAGGATTAAAGCATTGTCGTCGACTTTCACGCGTCTTTCTCCGTCATTCATGGCGGGAATGTAATGCTAAATGACGACACATTGGTTTTTCTTTTCGTTGTTACGTAGTCTCTCGTGCCTTCGCGGTCGCTTCCGGGAGGAGGGCATCACGACGCCCCGGATCTCACTCGCATTTTGGGCGACGCACTGATGTAAACGAGCACGGCAATCATTTAAAGACTTGACTTCTCTCGGCGACCCCGATCGCACTTTCTTCTCGGACTGGCGCCAAGCGTAGGCGCCGTACATTTGTTCGACGTGACACGAGAAAGAGAGAAGGAGAGAAAAGGAGACGATCGCACAAGCTATGATAATCCGCAGAGATCGTCGAAGATCGTTCGAAGATGCTCGTGTTACGATGCGATACCGCTATATGACCGAAATTCGAAGAAAAAAGCAATAGTGAATTGGCATTAAAGTCTGAGTATTCGATTTTGTCATAATTAAGCACTACAATAATGATTGAACAAATATAATATATTAATGATATATCGACAAATACGACTCTCGAAATACATGACTATTGAATATAAACGTAAAAAATGAAAAATAATTATAGAAAGAAGCAAAATAAAGGAGACGACATGAATGGAAAAAGTGAAAGTACGATCCTTTGGAGTCTACCTGCAACTCTAATTTTGGAATCATAAATTATAGTGAGAACAGACTATTGTTCCGTCATCGGCATAACAACTGTCAAAAATACAATTACTACAAAACTATCTGTTTGAGAAATTAAAAATTTATGTATTCTTTTTATTGAAACAATATTTCATTTTAAAGGAAAAGGAGACTTTTAAACTGATATAAAAATCGATTAATTTGATAATTTCTAATTAAAAATCAGCGAAAAAAATTAATCTTTACAAATTAATAAGCGGCAATAAAAAAAATGCAGTAAGAATATTTTTGAGGCTTCCACGGATGTTTTCTTTATAAAGATTGCGTTTCGCGGATTTCCTCTGTGTCCAGATCCATTCTTGGAATGCCAACGTTTTGTGAATCTTGCAGTCTACTTCATCAGGGCGAGGAGCAGCCTGATAGGCTTAGGCGAGGAGTATCAAGCTGCTGATGAAGTGGACTGCACGGTTCACAAAACATTGGCATTCCAAGAATGGATTTGGACATAAAGGAAACACACGAAACGCATAATCTTTATATAATGCAGTAAGAAAATTTTGTCGTAGTAATCATTTTAAAACTAACTTCAAAAAACAAACATTTGATTTTTATTTGGCTTATGCAGCGCAAATTATAATATTTTGCAGAAGCTTTAAGTAAATAATGTTTATTAGAACTTTAAAAATAGTAAAAAAATATACGTAATTTAATCCGCTACATAATTATGCTACTTTTTTATAAAATTTGCAAATGAGTATTACAAAATATTTTACATACAAAAAGATAAACAAAAAAATTAAATAATTTTTAAACTAATAAAAAAATTGTAATCAAATTTTATATAGATACTCAGATGTAATAAATAAATAAAACGGCGATAAATAAAACAGATATAAAATAAAACAGGTAAAAAATAAAATGGAATTTTTCACATTTTTCTTCGCGTTCCTTGTAGACATCATCTTGAAACTAACTTCAAAAAACAAACATTTGATTTTTATTTAGCTTATGCAGCGCAAATTATAATTATATTTTGCTTTAAATAAATAAGTAGAGATTATACTGCGTAATACAAAGCGTTCTGTAAAAATCATATCAATATTTAAGGATAGATTCTTGAGAATCTTTTAAGACGAAAATTCTTTATTATTAAAATATTAGCTACAATAGTTTTATAATTATAAGTATTTAAAGTTGGCGAATTATGTGACCTAAAATTTGTGATACAACTCAAAATATTAAAATCGAAAGCTAATTGTCGCTTTTTGTTAATATTAATAAAGATTACCTATTATAAATAAAATTATGGATTTTTAATTATTGATACTTATTAATATTTATTATATTAAAAAATTATTTTGGCATTAGGATTTCTCAAAATCTTATTGTAGGAATCTCTCGTTATAACTGTCTTTATAACGGGATTCTTTCTGTATATTGTCAGGTCTTTTAAAGGTCTCTTTTACTTTATTGTTGTCGTCTATAAAAAAAGTGACCATGTTTAAATTTTTGACTATATAATCAAATGAATGTAATGATTTCTCAGAAAATTCTAAGAATTCTGCAGGTAGTTTATGCAAATCCGTAACTATACATTCAAGCGCAGCGATTGGCCTTCATTAGTATTTCTTTTAATAAAATATTTTTGCAATATTTAACGTCGCATTTTTTCCCAAATAAATAATAATATGGAATAATAAATAATAAATTATATAAAGAAACTGTAATTAAAAAGAAACTGTAATTAAAAAGAAAATGTGTTTATATTTGCCGAATAATTTATACCAAATGATTTACCGCATTTTTTCGCATTCAAACGTTTTTACTTCTTTTTAAATCTATTCGAATCTGCTATATTAGAAACTTTTGGAAACTTTTGAAAACTTTCTACTTTCGAGAAAAAATTTTTTTAATATGAAGTTCGACAAATAACTTTTTTAGAAATAACAATGCTTGCAGTGATACTAGTCAAGTGTCAGTCTACATAAAAGTCACATGGGAACACTACGGCAGGTGTAGGTAGCGGAACTATCGATATTCATAATTGACGTTTGGAGCGTTGGCGGAATCGTGATAATGTCGATTCGTTATCGGTGCACTTCCTATCCGCAAATATCACAACGGCCATCAATGTATAGGCCATCGAGGGTCCGCTGATGATTAGGTAAACATGTTGGCCCGCAACATTCCCATCGTGTCTCGCACAAACTCACCTGCTACCGGTCGACATAGCGTATGTACGAATGTGTATGTACGTGTATTTATTGCCATATGCTACAATCCTGATTTTCCCAAGCTTACACCGTGGCATTCCTTGAACGACCCTCATCGGTGATTATAAGTTTTATGTGAATATAATTGATAATAAACATTGCAAATTTCTGCATATTATAAAAGGTTGCAAAAATATAAGATCGTTAAATTTGAGATACATATCGATATAAGAAAATTTTTTATATTTTTCTCGGAAAACTACGAAAATCATAGTTGCCTTGCTACAAATAGATAATTGAGCGTATATAACAAATCCAAATGCATATTACATTAAATTATAGAATAGAAAAGAATAAAAGGTTTCTAAGACTTTAAGATTTGTAAAATTTGTGAAACATAACTAGGTGCTTTACAAAATTTTACATAGTATAGTATAGTAACAATCGGTATAGTTTGGTATTTATTTCAATTTCGTTGCTTTAAACGATTGAAAACCATTTAAAAATCACAATATATAAGCTTTAAGGGGCGTACATTCGCATCTCAAAGTACAATGCGATTCGCATTATGTTAATATCTTTAATGTATTATTAAGAACAAACGTACCATCACCTGCATATAATCTGCAATTCTAATTCGCGTCGATATCACATCCTGCAGTAAACAGTTCAGCCATTGTTCGAACGTAGAACGAAATTGTGAATTTTATTCACTCTTATAAATAACATTGCAAACGTTAAAAAATTTCTCTATTCAACATTTCCAATTGTTTTTGTATCATTTTAAAAACTCTTTGAAAATATCAAAATCAGATTTCACTTGCCGGAAATACCTCAGAACCTGCTGAGAACAGGTCTAAAAGGACAGAATCAAATAAATTAATTATTAGATTCGTAGAAAGGAAATCTATTGAAGTTATGTGAAAAGCCATTAAGAAAGTCTTTTGACGGCATTGTCCATTGGAAAAAATCTGAATGTCAGATACCAATATAGAAATTTAAAAATATTCCTTTTTCGGAATGCACTACATTTGTGAATCAGCTGTTGGCCAAGTACGCTCAATAGACAACTTCAATCTTTATCTTCAGAAAACTTTGTGTTTATTCAATCTTTTCTTTTTTCCCTCTCGTTTCTTATTCTTTCACAATAGAAATAAGTCTATCTTTTTGTGCTTGCAAATTAATTTAAGCGGATATTTTTTAAATCTATTTTTAACTCTTCTTTAGCAAAGATAATCCTCGCGTTTTCATAATATATGAAGTTGCCCAGTGAACATATTTTAAACAGATGGCTAATATTTATCGAGAACGCACTTGTGTTCTTACTTCGTTGTCTAAAAATTCCCAGATTACACGATAGCATCTAAATAGTAGTTTTTAATTTTTAAAAAGCTATACGAACAGATATACATTCTTTATTTAATAGAGATATCTCACGATGAGTAGAGGAAAAGAGATAATTATAAAATAAGTGAGGGATAGTGTGGAATACACGACATCTTGTACAGTTGTAGACAGAAGGTTTTGGAAGTCCTTTTAAAAAAGTTGAAGTTAAATGGTTAAATTCATAAGTAAGAATGAATCGCTCTGCGAAACTTATTGAAAAAAAGTGTTGCAACCGTTCTGTCCACGATACATTTGTACGTTTTGCATTCTGAGAGCGAGCGTCAAAATTTTATATTTTTCATATTCCGTTTAGACTTTTAGACATTATAACATATTACTGGTTGTTAGTATGTTTATTGTGTTGTAAAAGCTTTCAATTTTGCACACTAAAATTTTTTGAAAAATTTCTGATTGAAAATAAATTAGAAAATTTTAATTATATCAATTAGAATTTTAATCGAGATAACCAGATGTCCAATTATGATGAGCAAAATTTTGGTTGATATGATCAGAATCTTCTAGCACATTTTCAACTGTTGTAACAGATTATTTTACAAGTGTACTGTTACATAATTTTGAGAAGTATATTAGTAATTAATTCTGTAACCATAGTCTAGTTTAAAAATCTTGAATGCGACTTTCAAATGATATAATTAACCTGAATATATAATATATAAATTCACTGAAATATTATATTATTTAAAGCACTAAGATGAAGAATGTCAACAGCAATAAAAAATAAAACTTGAACTTCGAAAATTGGATTCAAATCTTATTTATATTCAGAATTGTATTATTCGAAATTGTAACACCTTCTGATTGATATCACGCTATTATCTTTAACTGATAAACTCGTATCACGTTACATGAATATCTACTGACTTATTTCAGTAAAATAAAAATTCTATAATCCTCTCTATATCGATTACTTTATTTACCAACATCATCCAAAAACAAAAAATCGAATAATAATGCGAAAAATATACAAGCTCACCGAGACATCTCTCTCCCGTATGAATTGCACTTCATGGGGAGAAATTATCCGGTGAGAGATTGGCATCCGATCTTTCTCCGGAAAGTACTCCGTGCGCTGGAATCGGCAGTAATTAACGTCGACCGGAGGCGTGGCTCCGCGAGGGGGCAGAGAGACACCCCTCAGGTTCACCAGGACGATTCGTCTTCGTCCTGCCATACGTGCATTCGCGCGCGTCTCACACTTGCCCGTCATAAATTTATGCAGAACAATTCAACGACAACGGTGCATTACGGGGTCGACGGCGCAGGTTCAAAGACCTTGCCTGAGCCGCGGGTACTTCGATCGTCCTCAGCGCGAATACGCGCTCCTCGTTCCTCCTGCTCCTTCGCGCGCGGCCCCGTTCGTCTTTTGGCTGGCAATTAGCATATGATTGACCCTGCGCAGTGACCCTGCGCGATTCACCACCGAACGATTGAATTAAAATGCGCTAAAGGTGCGAGTCGCCCTGGCAATTTTGACGCAGACGAAAAATCAATTTCTTCCCCGTGGTTATGCTCATAAAGATGCATCTAAATATCAATACTTTTCGAATCATTCTTTTATCGCTACGTAGTTTTGATATTTCTTGCAACAAAATTATCATTAAATGTATGTAAATGTATAACAAGAACATACAAGTATCATGAAAAGTACAATATAAGAACTGATTTATGTAAAAATATAAAAAAACATACGTGTAATTTTAATTATAAAGAGTAAAACTCATAGATAAATTATTTTAGACACACGTAGCAGGTAACAGAAAGGTTCACTAACTGCAAAATGTTATATAAATTAAGGGCTTACTGTGCCGCACATATTTTCAGGACGAGAAGCTTAAATCGGCCTGAGACCCACGCGGTTATCATAATGACAATAATCGCCGCGATCAGTAACAGCGCGGCGGAAACACGATGCGATTATTCAAATCCTAAGCCAATCGCCGGCGTTGCAAAATTATACACGGACCAGCGTCGCGGCGGCGGCGATAATCGCACGGCGCAATTTGATACACGACCCGCGCGCGCGGACAGAGACGTTAAGATTAAAGATGTAGGATAAGAAATTGTTCTCGCGGATATTATCGAAACGAGGTATAGGCGGACGGCGCGGAGCCGTTAAGTCTCATCCGCGCACTTTAACTCCGTCTTAACTCTTCGCTGCTGCTGCTGCCTCTTTTTCCTTTCTTTTTTCTTTCATGTCCTTCTCGACATGGTAACCACCCGGCATGTGCGGCACGATCACCTTCGGCGCGTCCTTGGTGGTACATGCTCCAACCCAAACACCGCGCATAAAACCCCGTGTATTTGCCACATCACATGCCTTCGAAATTCCCTTACCTGCATCTCCGTTAATAACGGCGGTAACACA